CACCGGCTTAAGATAGAACGACGGCCCTTGACATTTTCGATTCTGGCAAACTATGCACGTCTATAAGGTTCACACCTAATTTTGACGAGAACATGGAGGTCTCGCAGTGCCATGCACAAATCACATGGCACCGACGAGAAATCAACGGCATACACGTTGGAAGCAACACGCAGTGTGTGATACTACATTAAGATCGGCGAGGATGAAACTCGATGGCAGCAATACAGAAAAGAAGCGAAACTACTTTAGCAGCTTTTAGCACCGCTGAACGTATCACATCGAAGCATTCTGCGTATGCTTCCTGCTGGGGTCGGCGCATGGCCGCGACCGTGTCGATACGATCCTGGTGGGACAAGAGGAGATCCATCGCAAGATGGCTCGGCATCGGAATGAACTCTCTGCGGAGAGTAGATTGTGGCAGTCTTGTATTGACACCGTCACTAGAGTTTCTCAAATGTCTTCACTACCCCCCGGAACTGTTGCGAGAGCCCTGCCTTCTCGACCTGGTTTACGAGCGCTTCGTCAGCAGCACCCCGAGCCTGTTACTTTCCAAACGCAGACAAGGGCCGAATAACAAATCTATTCGAAGGACTCTGCATCCCAAACGGCCAAGTACACGAAACTTCAACCCGGAAGCTATGCCAACCTCACAGACATGAGGAGTTGCAGCGAGCACTGAACAGACTTGGCCAATCTCTCCGAGCTTTTCGAGGTGCAGCCCTTCTTGAAACTCGTCGCCTTCAAAAGCCCGCACATATCATTGGGTCATTGGGGCACCCAATAGAACCTTTGTCCTCAGTCGGGAAGCTGCTTGGAGTCCCCAAAACCGCAAGCATCTACCCCGAACTAAAGCAGCTACCCCGAACTCAAGACGAAACACCCAAACACTAAGCACGAAGCTGGGTCACAAACCTTGACGTCAGCAGCTCCTCAAGGGAGCGGCAAGGGCCCTAAGACTTACCAGGACAACAGCGCTTGGGAGAATCGTGAGCTAGGAAAACTACTGTACTGTGGAAAGCATGTGCGCTGCTACAAGTTGTAGCAGTAGTAGTAGTCGTCGTCGTGGTGGTGGTAGTGGTAGTGGCAGGGGTTGGGGTAGTAGTCGTAGTGGTAGTGGTAGTAGTAGTAGTAGTAGTAGTAGTAGTAGCAGTAGAAGTAGTAGTAGTAGTAGTAGTAGTAGTAGCAGCAGGAGTAGTAGTAGTGGTAGTAGTAGTAGTAGTAGTAGTAGTAGTGGTGGTAGGTAGGTGGGTAAGTAGTGCAACAAGAGTCGTAACACTCTCAACCGTAGCGGCCACGGGTACCAGCATT